CCTCGCGCCTTTCCATATCTTGCCCCCTCCCGCGCTTGTACCCACCGCGCTAGCAGCTGCAAGTGGCGATACAAGGGGGTATCCTCTGACAACCCGCTCGGCCACAGCGGCTGCCGTTAGCCTGCGTCGCTGGCAGGGGTGGCGCCGCTCTCGCCAGCAAAAGCTTGCTCGGCTCCGTAGTAAATGATGGGGATGCCTGTACGTTTGTGCAAAATGCGGGCAGATTCACGTGTGAGGCAAATGGATTTTGACCGGAAGGATTTGAATCGGCCACTTTGTGCAGAGTTTGACAAGTTTGACCAGTATGCTCAACATCGACCAGAGATCTGTGCCCAAACAACGCCCAATACAGACCAACACAGCCGGGCCGGGCAAGCCGCAAAGCCCCGGGAGATTGCTGGGTGCTGCTTTGCAAAGTGGGTCCAACGACTGGAGGTGCAGGCGTGGCTGACGCGGCCGAGCACGGCGGTGCGCACCCTCTGACATCATGACCCATGTGAGTGCGTTCTTGTAGCGCTGTTCGTCTGGCTGGTACGACAGGAAGCGCGGCAGATCCTGCAGAGGGGATGTGTGTGTGTGTTTGTGTGTGTGTGTGTGTGTGTGCGTTGGCGAGAGCGTGTGCATGTGCATGTGTGCATGTGTGTGTGTGTGTGTGTGTGTGTGTGTGTGTGTGTGTGTGTGTTAGCAGGCCCACACAGGGCAACAAAGGGCAACGACGGTTTGTGGATTGCACCACAGCGCTGACCTGCACGACTGGCCGGCCAGCAACACGACCTGTCACCGACGCAGCCGCCGGCCTGAGCATTGCAGCACCCCTGCATGCCCCATCTCGGCCTCTGGGAGGGGGATGCCAGCCCTGAACCCTGCTGGCGGGGCACACCCACGTGGTTCTCAATGAAGACCCCCAACAGTCCCATCTGGGCAGGCGCAAAGGCAGCCTGGTAGGCCCGGCGCATTTGCAGCAGCCTGGGTGGCCGAGGTGGGGATCCATGCGGCGGCAAGGTGGTGGGCACCGCCACAGGACGCGCTCACTCAGATCATGCACTAGGCAGCACAGCGCAAAGCACGGGTGCGCCACCCTTGTGGCTCGGGTATGATGCCGGACCCCGGCAGCTTCAACTGTCAGCCCGAAACAATCACACACACAGATGCGCGCACATGCGCACACGCGCACGCGCAAACGCAGACACGCACGCACGTGCCCACGCGCATACGAGCACGTGCGCTTTTACACACACACACACACACACACAAACGCACTCGCGCGCGCGCGCGCACACACACACACACACACACACACACACACACACACACACACACACACACA